CAGAGAAAATATCTCCAACTGAAATTCCCAAAGTAGAAAACGAGCCAACTGAACAAAACAAACCAGTAGTAGACAGTACTTCAGGATCTGCAAACCAACCAGAATCTGATAAAACAWCTGTCGACCAAAATAAACAGGATAATCCTCAGTCAGAGAATGTGTTTCCAACTGATATCCCTAACGTAGAAAATGAAACTACTGAACAAAATAACCCATTACTGGGCAGTATTTCAGGAATTGAAAACCAACCAGAATCTGATAATCTACCTCAAGAACAATTAAACCAAGTTAGTCCTCAGTCAGAAAAAATATCTCCAACTGAAATTCCCAAAGTAGAAAACGAGCCAACTGAACAAAATAAACCATTATTGGACAGTAGTGCGGGAGCTGAAAAGCAACCAGAATCTGATAAGCTATCTGAAGAACAAATTAACAAAGATAGTCCTCAGTCAGAGAATATATCTCCAACTGATATCCCTAACGTTGTAAACGAACCCACTGAACAATATAAACCACAAGTGGATAATAATCTGGGAGGACAAAATCAACCGGAATCGGATAAGCTACCTCAAGAACAATTAAACCAAGATAGTCCTCAGTCAGAGAACGTATTTTCAACGGAAATTCCTGAAGTAGAAAATGAACCGACTGAACAAAATAAACCATTATTGGACAGTAGTGCGGGAGCTGAAAAGCAACCAGAATCTGATAAGCTATCTGAAGAACAAATCAACCAAGATAGTCCTCAGTCAGAGAATATATCTCCAACGGATGTTCCTAAAATAGAAAACGAAACTATACAACCAGTAGCACCAGTAGCTTCAGAAAATGATGCAGCAACAGTACAACCAAACGAAGATAATAATATATTTGTCGTGTCACCAACATCACCACCATTATTCTCTGATAATCTAGTTAAAGGTGACGGTTCTACTTCAATAACCAATAAAAACGATAACAGTGATAAATATTCTTCGACACAAAATAAYGAAGACAAGACTGTTGAAGTCCCAAAACCATCAGCTGATGACAAAACATCACTTACTGATACCACCGATAAGACCAACATATTACTATCAAGTCACACTGWWWCAGTTACAGAAGTCCAAAACGTGGTGCCACAAGCAAATTATGAAAATAATAAAAATGCAATAAACATTAAGCCAGTAGATAACAAAGTGAACAATGATATAGTAACAGATAGTCCGGTTAATCCTAACGAAAAATTACCTATCGATGCTGAACATAACGATAACAAATTTGGATCAAACAGTCCGGTGAGTTTGGAACCAACCGTTACGACAACGTCTGGAATAAATTATGATTTCAACACGGAAGTAACAAATCATGGTGTATCGGTAGATGATTTTCCATCTCATGAAAATCAACCAATTGACGGCCATTCAGGAGAAGAGTACGAAAGCTCATTTAATGCTGATACGGGAGACCACCAAATTGTACATCAAACTTCGACTGAATCAGAGGCGTCGACAAATAAATATCCATCATCTTCTGACGAACACGCGACTGATTTTACCACTTATTCACCACAACTACAAATAGCTGATAATAATATTCCTGCAAATCCTCAAGTTATTAATCCTAGTGCACCAATAACAACACAAGACGAAACGAAAACACCAAACGACTTGACGGCAAACGGTTCACTAGATCAATCTTCCGATAGTTATATACCAACCGAAATAAACGGAGTACAAAATTCTGAAGCACCAACTGAATCGCCTGTATTGTATGATAATAATGGCGAACAATCTATTCCTACGCAAGCCCCAGAACAAAACAATGAATATGAAAACGTCACTCCTCACAAACAATCACAAGACGAGGATGTCAACAAGATTGTAGATCAAACAGCAGTGTACCCAGATACTCCCTTAGATAATAAAAATTATTTGGCCACGAGCATTATACCAAATCATAATAATGTGG